TATAGGAAGTTCTTCTTTGTCTCTTGTAAACTTTTCTGATTCAAAGTCTATTTTGTCTGATATTAATATAGTCACCTTTGCTCTATTTTGTTATTATTTGCTTGGAATATCTTTTTCCATCCTTTCACTTTCAACCACTTTGTGTCACTGGATCTCAAGTAAGTCTCTTGTAGACAGCATATAGTGTTGGGTCAGATATTTTTATCCATTCTGCCAATTCCTGCATTTTGACTGGAGAGTTTAATCCATTGACATTTACAGTAATTACTGATAAAGTGGAACATCTGTCATTTTGTTATTTGTCTTCTCTGTGACTTATAGTTTTTTTATCCATCATTTCCTGTATTACTGTCTACTTTTGTGCCTAATCAATTTATTTTTTGTAGTAAAATGTTTAAATTCCTTTCTCATTTCTTTTGTGGATACCATGGGGATTACATTGAACATCCTAAAATAATACATTGTATTTTGAATTTATACTGGTTTCTTCATTTGAATGGACCATACTTTTCCCGTTTCTTTGTATGACTTCTAATTTTTTGTTGAACACTGGACATTTGAATCTAATAATGTAGCTCTGGAAAGCAGATTCTCTTTCTCAGTGATTGCTGTTTTTAGTTTCTGTTTTTGTCTTTCTGATTGTTGTAGCCTGTCTCTGTGCTGAGGTTCAGCCCAAGGTATAAATTTAAGGTCTTCTTAGGTCTTTTCTGAGCCTCTTCCTGGGCATTCACAGTCAGTTTCTAATTTTCCCCACCTATGCAGTTGTTTTGAATGTTTTAGTATTTAATGTCTGGCTCCAAAAAGGGGAAAAGAGAAAAATGAAAGGTGGGGAAAAGGAACCAGCTCATTAAGTCTCCTGGAAGTCACTTTATGTGGAGTGTGAGGGGCTTGCAACAATGTGGGGAGGTATAACTGATCAAAGCACAGATCTCTGATATTTGGAGAATAGGACCCTTTTTGCCCACTCTGGCTCTTGCATGCTGTATGTAAGCTGCTCCAAGAACAGATGCACAGCTGCCTGCCATGTGGCTGGGGTGGGGGGTGAGTGGATGCCCTGAGCTAAGAAAGAGCTGAAACTGACTGAAATTTACCACCATTTACCATTTAAGCCTTCCCCTGGAAGTTGCAAGCCTTCAATGGACTCCAGAATTCCAGGTCTATCTGATGTATCTGATAGATTCTGCCAGTACAGTTGTTGCCTGGGTGGAGAGACAGATTCTTGGTGTTCCTAGTCTGTCATCTTTCCAGAATCATCTAGGCTTAGCTTTTAAGGAATTGCCAAACTGTTTTCTGTGGCAAAATATCTCTATTCTCCATTCCCACCATCAAAGTATAAGGGTTCCAATTTCTCCACATCCTCAGCAATACTTGTTTTTATCTTTTTTTATTATAGCCATCTTAGTGGGTGAGAAGTTGTGTCTTAATGAGGTTTTGATTTGACTTTTCCTAACAGCTAGTGATGCTGAGCATCTTTTTATCTGTTATTGGCAATTTGTATATTATTGGAGAAGTGTCCATTCATATCCTTTGCCTACTTGAAAAGTTGGGTTATGTCTTTTATCATTTGGTTATAGGCATTCTTTTTTTTTTTTTTTTAAGATTTTATTTATTTGAGAGAGAGAGAGTGAGAGAGCATGAGAGCAGAGAGGGTCAGAGGAAGAAGCAGACTCCCCGCTGAGCAGGGAGCCAGATGTGGGACTCGATCCCAGGACTCCGGGATCATGACCTGAGCCGAAGGCAGTCGCTTAACCAACTGAGCCACCCAGGCACCCTATAGGCATTCTTTATATATTCTGGATACTAGTCCCTTATCAGATATATGGTTTGAAAATATTTTCTCCAAGTTGGTAGGCTGTCTTTTCACCTTCTTGATGGTGTCCTTTGAAGCAGAAAAGTTTTTGTTGATATAGTCCAGTTTATCTATTTTTTCTTTTGTTGTTTTTTTGATGCCATATCTAAGAAATCACTGCCAACTCAAAGATCATGGAGATATATGTCTATGTTTTCATTATGAGTCTTTGTTAGCTCTTACATTTAGGCCTATGATCCATTTTGAGTTAGTTTTTGTATATGGTTTGAGGTAGTGGTACAATTTCATTCTTTTACATGTGGATATCCAATTTTCTCAGCAAAATTTATCATAAAGACTGTTCCTTCCTTATTGAATTGTCTTGGAACCCTAATAAAAAATCAGTTGATCCTAAGTGTAAGGGTTTGTTTCTGAACTGTGAATTCTATTTCATCAATCAATATGTCTCTCTTATCCCACCACCACATCATCTTAATTACTGTGGCTTTGTAGTAAGTAGTGAAATTAGGAAGTGTGAGATCTCCAAGTTTGTTCCTTTTCAAGATTGTTTTAGACATTCTAAATCCTTTGAATTTTCTTTTTTTAACAAAAAATTTTAAAAGATTTTGTTTATTTATTTGACAGAGACAGAGAGCACAAGTAGGCAGAGAGGCAGGCAGAGGGGAAGGAGAAGCAGACTCCCCGCTGAGCAGAGAGCCTGATACAGGGCTCCATCCCAGGACCCTGGGATCATGACCTGAGCCGAAGGCAGACGCTTAACCAACTGAGCCACCCAGGTGCCCCAATCCCTTGAATTTTCTGATTAATTTAAGGATCAACTGTCAACTGTCAACAACTGTCAATTTCTGCAAAAAAGGCAGCTAGGGTTTTTAAAGGGATTGCATTGCATGTGTAATCTGGGGAGTACTGCCACCTTAATGATATTAAATCTCCCAATCCATGGACATGGGATATTTTTCCATTCATTCAGGTCTTCAATTTCTTTCAATGATGTCTTGTAGTTTTCAGTGATAAGTCTCACACTTCTTTTGTTAAATTTAATCCTTAATATTTTTATGCTGTTGTAAGTGGAGATGATTTTGTAACTTCAATTTTGGGTTTTTCATTACTAGTACTTAGAAATACAATTCACTATTGAATATTGATCTTTTATTCTACAACCTTGCTGAACTCATTTATTAGCTCTTAGCTCTAATAGTTGGTGGATTCTATAAATATACTATATATAGTCTATATATATTCTATATATATTCATGTCATCTACAAATAGAATAATTTTACTTTTTCCATTCCATTCTGGCTGCCTTTTCTTTGTTTTTCTTGCCCAATTACCCTGGCATTGTTGAACAGAAGTGGTAAAAGTGGGTATCCCTTGTTTTGTTCCTGATCTTAGAGGTAAAGCATCAGTTTTTCACCATTAAATATGTTAGCTGTGGGTTTTCTCCTAGATGGCCTTTATCAATTTGATGAAGTTCCCTTCAAGTTCTGGTTTGTTTAGTATTTTTATTATGAAAGGGTATTGGATATTGTGCAACACTTTTCCTGCATGTATTGATAATTATGTGGGTTTTTTCTTTTACTCTATTAATATGGTGTATTACCTTGATTGATTTTTGTATGTTGAACCACTCTTGCACTCCTGGGATATATATTACTTGGTTATATATAACCATTTTTATATGTTTTATATATTCAGTTTGCTGGTATTATTATTTTTTTTTTTTGAGGATTTTGCATCTATGTTCATAAGAGATAATGTTCTGTAGTTTTCTTTTCTTGTGATGTCTCTGTCTGGTTTTGGCATCAGGGTAATACTGGGCTCATCTAATGTGTTGGAAGGTATTTTTCACCCCACAATTCTGTTTTGTTTTTCTGAAGGGGGTAAAGAGTTTGGAAGAGATTGGTGTTAATTCTTCTTTAAATTTTGGTAAAATTCACTAGTGAATATCATCTGATTCTGGGCTTTTCTCTGTGGCATTGTTTTTTTTTTACATTACTACTTCAATGTATTTATACATATTATTATACATTACATTATTATACATATTATTATATATTACATTGTTATACATATACATTATACATATAATTGTTATATGTCATTGGGGTTTTCTATTTCTTTTTGGTCAATTTCAGGAATTTGCATCTTTTTAGGAATTTGTCCATTTTGTGTAGGCTATCTAATTTGCTTTTGTACAAGTGTTCATGCCTTTCTCATTTCTGTAAGATTCCATTCTAATGGTTTCCCTTTCATTCCTGTTTTTAGTAATTTGAGACTTCATTCTTCTTGGTCAGTCTAGCTAAAGTTTTGCCAATTTTGGTGATCTTTTTGAAGACTGCATTATACTTTATTCATTTATTAATAAGTATAATCATACTTTAGAAAAATATGACCAAGAAGCATAAGATCATGAGCCTATGCTTATCTAAATCAACTACATTACTAATAATATTATTCACATTAATTGAATATATAGGAAGATATTCCTTAAAACACATTTAGAGTAAAAGAATACATTTAGTAAGCAGAGTTTTTGGTAATTTTAGGAAGATTGAAGAGTGCAGCACTGAGACAGATGGATTGTATCCCTGCACACTGTCTTCCAGCCTAGGAGACAGTGAAACCTGCATTTACCACGAAGCGGCATACACACTGGCCAGGGAAGTACAGGCTGCTGTAGGAGTCCATGGAGGTCATGTGACCTGGTGGGCTGCCACTGGAGAACCTGCAGCTTGGCTGTGCCACCTCTATTGCTACCCAGCCCTTTCTGGCTGCCCACACCTAGGATCTGGGGAGGCTGGACCACCAGCCAGCTTGGTGAGCCCCTGAGGGCTCCATGGACATGGGGCTGGTAGGGGCGCGGCATGAAATGAAGGCAGAGGAGATGGATAAGGTTGGATGGTCAGGTCTTTAACAGAGGGCTGTGGGCTGGGTACCACCTTTCCGCTCATCCCTGCCTGCCTGGCGTCCTCCAACTCTGAAGGGTAGGACATGGGGACAGGAGCGATACCAAAGACGCTGGCCTGGTGGATTAGGGGGCCTATCAGTGCCCCACACCCCACCAAGGCAGATGAGATACAAGAGGGAAACTGAGTCCCAGAGGTAGATCAAATGTGCCCAAGGGAGTTGGCCAAGTCTCCTAAGGGCTACAGCCAGTCCATCTGATGCCTCTTTCCTTATGCCCCATAGCATTTGAAAACAGCCTGGGCTCTGGCTGGCTCAGTGGGAAGAGGAGGAGTCCCCTGAAGATGCTTTATGACTTGGACCAGGTAGGTGGACAGACCCCTGCCCAGTGATCCCTCCCTCTACCTCCAGCCACGGGAAACTGAGAACCCTAGTGTAGACCTGCTGTCTTGGGACTAGAGCCCACAGTAGGGCTTGAGGAGGCTTCCTCTGCAAATCAAGGCCCTGTGCAGAGAGGAGAATGCCTATGACAAGGGCAAATCTTCGGACAAGCTGAGAGACCTGGGGTCTCCACCCACCCACCCACCTACCCATCCATCATCCACCCAACAACAGACTGAAGCCACACTGTGCCAGGCACTCTGCCATGTGTTGAGGATATAAAAGAGCAAAGGACCCTCAGGAAGTTGACAGTCTAGTGGGGAGACAGGAATTAAGTGACCCCCCAGATTTTAGTATCTGCTGCAATAGGGAAACATGCAGGGAGCCCCTGTCCTCACACTGTTCTTAGGCACCCGGACCAGGAGGCTTACCGGCCCAGGCACTCCACTTCCGCTGTGGGCCTGCTGGGACCAGGCACAGCCCAAACACACATGCAGTTAGACCCCCCCGAGAGCCACGGGCCCCTGGCTCACACACACACCAGCAGGCACGAGGAGAGGCACCCATTCAGACAGCATGTGTAGAGCACCTAGTGTATGCAGGCTGTGCTCAGGCTGCTGCTGATCCAGTGGCAAGCAGGTCAGCTGGATCCCTGACCTGGGGCAGCTGATATGCCCAGGTGAGGCAGATATCATCCCATCATTGCCACCTGCACTAACCTGTAGCTGATTTGCATCGAAAGGGGCAGTACAAGGTGCGACAAGAGATCTACCGGGAGGGTCCTAGTTTAGATGGGGAAGAGAGATCCTCTCTGAGAAAGGGACATTGGAGCTGAGACCTGCAGAGAAGGAGTTAAGAAGCAAAGAGTAGAGGGCCAAGTGCCTGGTGGTGGACAGACAACAGAAGAGGGTGTGCGAGGTGAGCCAGGAGTGGGCAGCAGCTTGGGTGGTGCCTGGCAGGTGGGGCGAGGGCAATAGGGAAACCATAGAGGGTTTTAAGCTGGGGAGAATGATCAGACAGGTTGGGTAAGTAGCTGTTCACTGAATCCCTGAGGGCTGAGCCAAAGGGGCCTGTGGAGCTTATCTGACCCACACCCTTGGGTTGCAGGTGTGGAGGCCTTGGTTCAGAGAGGGTAACTGGCTTGCTCTGGGCCACACAGCAAGCTGAGGGCAGGCCAGGCTCTCAGCAGGATCCTGGGTTCCACTAGTTCCACAGGCTTCTGAGGGGCAGATGGGGCTGACTCAGCCCCCTCACAGCCTGAGGTCCCTCTGACGGTTGGGTGTCAAGGCCCTGGGAGCTTAGCACCTGTGGCTGGAGAAATAAGAGTAATAAAAATAATCTGGCCAACAAAGGCTAACTGTGTACCAGACACTCCAATTCTGTGAACTTATTTAGTCCTCGTGGCAAGCCTATAAGGTAGGCCTGTTGTTATCCCTGTTTACAGATGAGCAAACTGAGGTACGGAGGCCAAGGACACAGAGAAGGTTACAGAGCTCATAAGGACTGGAGCCAGGCTAAGGATCCAGGCAGCCGAGTCCAGTCAGGCTGGGAGAGATGGTTGTAACTGTAGGATTTGTTCCTGGACCAGTGGGCATAGCCCCAGCTTCTGAGTCCTAAGGGACCTAAGTTGGGAGTCCCAGCTTCCCTACTTGAGAGCTGTAGGCAACTCATTTGTATTGAGCCTCAGTTTTCTCATTTCTATGGAGATAGTATTGACTATCTTGGTATTTATGGGGCTCCAAGCAACATAAAAGCTGACTTTAAGCCATTAGGACAGTCGGTGTTTACTTCCCAAGATGCTCAGAAACCAACAGCCCTTGGTACAGCAACAACACGTTGTCCATCATCATACTCTGAATGTTGACATATGATACATCTTGTGCCTCATGACTTCAAGATGACTGCCAGGGCTCCGGACATCTCACAGGATGGTACCCCAAGCAGAAAGGGAGGGGCTGAGGCAAAGATTTTTTTCCTTCAGGAGCCCTCTCTTTTTGTGCTGAAGGAAAGTCTTTCCTGGGAGCCATCTAGCAGACTTCCCTGTACATCTCCTTGGCCCAAACCAAGCCAGATGTTCACCCCAGGACCCATAGCTTTCATGAAGTTGTGTGAGGCTGCTATGACTGGTTCTTCCCCAAGGCTTGGCACATGACCTACCACAACTGGGGTCTGCTGGCAAGGAGGGAGGATGACTGACAGGTGGGTGGATGGCCAACATTCCCTGCCCCAAGAAATATGTGAGGATGTCTGGAAGCTGAAAGCAGAGCTTGGCTGTGGGGCCACTGAATACAGCCTTCTCCTGGCACCCAGGTGAAGCCAGGCTTCTGAGGCCAGTCCTGTGAGTCTGCCTTAGAGGGAAAGGGATCCTCTCAGTGCTCTCACGCCCCTCACTGCTCTGAGATTGGCAGTCACCCCTCTGTGAGATTTTGAAAAAGTAAGATAAGCACATGATAGGGCATTCAACCCTTCAAACGAGTATATGTGGTGAAGAGTACCTCTCCTTCCCACCCTGGCCCTGGTTACCCCTGGAGGCGACCAGTTCGTTCCCTGTGTGCCCTTCCAGGCATGTTCTAGACATGTGTGTAGTGTCCAATGCTCTGTCATGTGCTTAGGTCACTTTTCCAGAATCATACCTACAGGTATATATGTCCTTTTTTTCTGCTTTATGTTTTAATTGAGAAAAATTCAAACATATACAGAAGTAAAATGTACAATGCACCCCCACATTCCCATCACCCAGTTTGAACAGTGATCAACTCTGCCCTGTTTCATCCAGACCCCTCTCCCTCCATTCCTACTTGGGATTATTTGGAAGCAAATTCCAACCTTGTTTAGTATGTGACAATTTCAATATATATCTAAAAGAGAGGCTCCCGGGGCACCTGGATGGCCCAGTCGTTAAGTGTCCAACTCTTGATTTTGGCTCAGGTCATGATCTCGGGTTTGTGAGATGGAGCCCCATGTCAGGCTCCAAGCTAAGCAGGGTTGTCTGATTGGGATTCTCTCTCTCTCTGCCCCTCCCCCCCATGCTCACTCACTCTCTCTTTCTCTGAAGCAAATAAATAAATCTTTAAAAAAATAAATTAAAATATGTGAGGCTGCCTACAACCTATCCTTTCTGAAACATCTTTTATTTCCTTCCTCACCCTTTGTAAACCCAAAATGTGACATGTTAACTCCTGTTCTGTACTTTAGCTTTTATCACTTGAAGTATTTTGGATTTCTGCTTGGATTTCTGGATACTTTTAAAGGCATGAGAAGCGCAAATGAGCACCTCCCCCCCACACACATTCTTCCCCTCCCCACCCAGCAATGGCAGATACTCTTATGCAGGCACTGGACCCAGTGTCCTACCATTTCAGGTGCTGCTTTGTCCTTCCCTGAAATGGAAACACTCACAAGGCTCTTTTCGTAACTGGGATAAAACTCACATGCCATAAAATTCACTCTTTTACAGTGTACCCTTCAATGGTCTATAGTGACCAAGGCTGCATGACCATCACCACTCTCTAACTACAGAACACTTTCATCACCCCCAAATTTTATTATTGAACAAAAAAATATCTCAGTAGCCTGCAAGTGGCTGCATTTTTCAACTCTATATGGAATTAAAGCTGTTGTTCTTATACACTATCCTGATATTCAATTTGTGCCCACGCTCACCACTCTGATGACATACTTATTCCATCAGGCTTACTCTGACACGGTCATATTCATCATCAGAACCTCCTTGGTCCCGAGGGCCCAACCCTACTTGTCACATCCTTCCACCTGCCTCAGTGAGGTTAGAGTCATTTTCCCCCCAAATTCTGGTCTAGGATCTGGGTCCCAAATCACAGTGATCGGTGGCAGTGCTGGGGTTCGAATCCCCTGTTCCGTCGCCACGGCCCGGTGGGTGCAGGGCTCCGCAGCGCCGACCCCATCCCCCACCCCCCCACCCCCCGCCCCGCTCTCCCACCTCCGCTGTCGCCTGCAGGGCCCGCACTCAGCCCTGGCCGAGGTGCACCGGCAGCGGCGCGACCTGCTGCGCCGAGCCTGCAGCCGCCACACACGCCGGCAGCGCCTGCTGGGGCCCGAGGACCTGCGGCACGTGCTGGTGGACGACGCGCACGGCCTGCTCTACTGCTACGTGCCCAAGGTGGCCTGCACCAACTGGAAGCGCGTGCTGCTGGCGCTGAGCGGCCGCGCCCGCGGCGACCCGCGCGCCATCCCCGCACACGAGGCGCACGCGCCGGGCCGCCTGCCCTCGCTGGCCGACTTCAGCCCGGCCGAGATCAACCGCCGGCTGCGCGCCTACCTGGCCTTCCTCTTCGTGCGCGAGCCCTTCGAGCGCCTGGCGTCGGCCTACCGCAACAAGTTCGCGCGGCCCTACAGCGCGGCCTTCCAGCGGCGCTACGGCACGCGCATCGTGCGGCGCCTGCGGCCGCGCCCGCACCCCGACGCGCTGGCCCGCGGCCACGACGTGCGCTTCGCCGAGTTCCTGGCCTACCTGCTGGACCCGCGCACGCGCCGCGAGGAGCCCTTCAACGAGCACTGGGAGCGCGCGCACGCCCTCTGCCACCCGTGCCGCCTGCGCTACGACGTGGTGGGCAAGTTCGAGACGCTGGCGGAGGACGCGGCCTTCGTGCTGGGCCTGGTGGGCGCGCCCGGCCTGCGCTTCCCTGCGCCCCCGCCCCGGGCCAAGGCGGCCGCCGCCCGCGACCTGGCCGAGCACCTCTTCCGGGACATCAGCCCCTTCTACCAGCGGCGCCTCTTCGACCTCTACAGGATGGACTTCCTGCTCTTCAACTACTCTGCCCCTTCCTACCTGCGGCTGCACTAGGCAGCGGGGCCCGTCACATCGGCTGGACGGTGTGCATTTCTGGTGCCGCCCCTCCAGGCCCCCCGCACCCCGATGCTGGTGCTGCCTGCCCGGGACTCCACTCTGAGCACCACTGCCCCGGCCCTTCCCTGCTTGGCCAGCCCGCCCGGGCCTCCATCCCACCCAGCCAGGTTTGGGTGCAGCCCACCTCAGGCGGCTGGACACCCGTGTGCCTGCCTGTCACCTGATGCTTGCTTCCTCTGAGTGTGCCAGCTGGCAGGCACTTCTCCAGACCGATGGGTGGGGAAGCATTGAATTACTAGTATTTTTTAGTTTGTGAGAGGCCATTTTGACCCCAAACCAGAGCAGAATGCCGGTTCGGTGCAGTCTGTGGCCTCTCCTAGCGGCCTCTTCGCCGCCTCGGCCCTGGTGTTGACAGCCGTGGTCCAGGAGGAAAGCCCTCCGTCATCGGGCTCAGGCTAAGGCCTTCCTTGTCAGTGGGCATGGCATGGAGCCCACTCTGAGTTGCCTTCCACTCTGCCTGTCACTGAGCCGTGTTGCCTCTCCCCGTGGCTGGCCCCACCTTTGATCTCGGTCTGGCCAGATCCTAAGTCTTCCGTGTGTGCCCACAGAGCCCAGAGTGCAATATGGTGGCAGGTTTTATAGGACCATCGTGAGCCGGGGAGCTTATGTTTTTGAAATAAATGTTTTTTACTTCTGACATTTTGGAGTTTCTCTGCTTCATTTTGCCATTTGTTCTGCTGCATGGGGCTGCCGGATCTTGGGCATCTCAACAAATCTCTGAGCCTCAGCTTTCCTTTGCTGCCAAATGGTGCAAGAATGCCAGGTGGTCATGAAGATCAGATGAGAGAGATGGAGAGCCTGGGTTTCCTTCACAGCAGCCCAGAGGTGTGAAGCGCTATATGGGGAGTGGGGTAAGGAGTGGATACACCATGGCAAGGGGTGCTAAATTCTGGCTGGAGGGGTAACAGTGAAGACTCGGGGCGGGGGGAATCTGACTTTTCATTCTGCCTAGGCTAAAGATTAAAGCTGAAACCAGCTCAGTGAAACCCTGTGCCTTGGGCTGCCTCCCACCCTTGTGGGTGTGTAGGTGTGTATTTGCGTGTGTGTCAGGATGCTTGGCAATGAGGACCCACCCTTCTGGCTTTGGGAAGACAGCCAGCCGTGGGAGTCCCCTAGGAAGGGCTGAATGTCCCCTTAGTGACTGTTTGAATATAGGGTGTCCTTTCTCAGTTTCCTTGAATGATAAATCAAAATGCCAGAACTTTGGGAAGACCAGGGCAGGGTATTCCTGAGGTTTTGAGAAACAGAAATCAGAGCACAGCCGAGAAAGGGCAGCTTGGCAGGGCAGAGGCCCAACCTGTGTTGTGGTGCTCCCCCACCCTGTGGTGAGGGCCCGTGAGCCTGGTTACAGGGCCATGCTGGCCTGTGCGGGCCAGGCTGGCCAGGGACTGCCAGCTCAGTCACATTCATGCCTCGGCCTTTGCTGATGTTGTTCCCCTGCCTGCGATGGATGCTTTCCCCTTCCAGGCCAGTCCTAGGGCTTCTCCTTCTCAGGAGCCTGCTGAGGCCTTCCCGGACACTGTCTGTGGGCCCTGCCAGTAGGGGTCAGTGACGGCCAACCCTTGTGGAGTTGGGAAGGGGCTGCCGCTGGGCTCCCCATGAAGCCTCACCCCCCCTGGAGAGCCATGGAAAGCCCAGGAGCCTGGACCATTACCAGGGTCGGGGGGAGAGGGGCTGGGCCTCTGACACCAGGAGGCTTGTTCCCGGCCTCCGTTGCCCCCACGCTCTCTCATATACCTACGCACACTGTGTCACGTGCCACCTCATGGTGAGTCATCCCACGTGCTTCGATGGCACACACCTTTGTTCCAAGCTCCCTCAGTGCCCACACAGCCTTTGATGCGACCTGTTTGTTGAAGTTATCCCCCATCCAGATGCCCTTCTCCCCCTGCTCCAGGTCGTCACCCTTAGAAGTCGCCCTCCGGCTCTGCAGTCACAGTGCCTGCTGTCATCTCCTTCAATGCCTCCTGCCTCCTGAAGCTTGTCACATGCACACACACTCCCTCATGCGGGCAGGCACTCCACTGCGCACCCCCCCCCCCCCCCCACTGATGGCACTTGATGTCACACCCTCTGTTGTGAGTACGAGGGCCACACTCCAGGCCCGCGCTTGCTGGAGGCGCCTCTTCCTCTCGTGCAGGCCCTGGGGAGTTCCTCCTGCTCTGGTGTCCTCTGACCTGCTTCCTCTCGGGCTGGTGCCAGAACGTGTCTGTCCTCACAGATCAGAGGCCGCCTGCCCACCCCTCAACAGCAAGGTCCCAGCTGGGTCATCAGATGGCCCGAGGAAGACAGGGTCTCACGTGAACAGCTGGACAAGACAAGAAGGTGCCGGGGGAGGGGGGCTCAACCTGGCATCCTTCAGTGATTTTTCTGTTAAAAGGCTGCCCCAGTTCCTGAAGGAATCAAACACACCAACTGAAGGTCACTTGGCATTTTAGCTTACTGGCAACTGTCTTCTATTTCATGGTTTTCCATCTCTCAGAGCTGAGTGGTGCTGGCCAGCAGCCTCCCCAGCAAGGAAGTGACACCAGTGGATTGGGTTACAAAGACTTGTTTAAAACGTTTCAGTGTTCTGTTGTTTTTGGCTTTGTCAGGAAAATGTTTCCCGGACTTTTGTAGTTATGGCGTTGTTTTGTTTTGTTTTGTTTTGTTTTGTTTTTCAGTTTTCTGTTGTGGCTTTGTCATCCAGGCAGATTCCTGGGAGGCAGAGTTCTATGATTTAAAATTCTGCTAAAACAAACCCCTGGTTCTTTGTCACAACACTGCTTCATGCATTATTCAGTTTGGGGATTGCAGCCGGCTGTATCTGCTGGCCTCGGCACCTGGCTGCATGGTCTGGGGGCGGGCACCAGCTCACCTTGCTGGGCTGCTACAGCACCCCACAAGGTCCGTGGGCCAGGTGTCAGGGTGCCGCCCTTCTCCACGGGGCTGGAGCTCTCTTCCCGGGGTGAAGGCACCACTGTCTGTGGCGAAGGCTCAGCAATGATGACTTGGATCAGCTGGTTCCTCTTGTGTAGCAGGAGGTGGTCAAAACAGCTGCTCCATGAAGCCACTGGGGGTACAGGCCTTCTGTCCTGTGGCTCCTCCAGCCCTAGGCTGTATGTAGCCCTTCTCCACGTGGTGCATGAGAGTGAGCCATTCCCTTCCCGGGCAGCAGAATGTTGAAGACACAGACCGTGGATTATACATTCCAGAGCCTATCATTCCTGCAGCGCTCCTGCCTCAAGGGAGGCTGGGCACGATACGCACCCCCCAACCCACATCCCTGTGGCAGTAAGCACTTCCAGGTAGCATTCCCCATGGCTCCCAGCTGCTCCATCTGCAGATGCTCCTCTGGCCACCAGACCTGCTTGGCCTGAGCACAGGGATGTTGGGTGTGCAGGGAGTCAGTGTCCCCGAGCAGCCTTCAACGTATGTCCACTAGAAGCTGGGGGGGGGGGGGCGGTAAATACTGCAGCTTTTGCCCCTCAGGTGGGAGAACACTGAGGCGTGACCTACAGAGTTCTCCCCTGGGATTCAGCCCCAGGTGCCCAAAGTGGTGGCCAGCTCAAGAGCACACCCTTTGCTTCCTTTCCCTTCCCCACATCTCTGGGGGGCTTCCCGGAATCTCCCCCCATTGAAACTACTTGCATCCATATTTTTATCTCCAGGGGAACCCATGATTCTATTGCAGACTTGCTGCTTTTATTTCATTGGTCCCTAAATGATAGGCAATTAGATTAATTTGTGTCCTTTAGCGCTACAGTGCTGTGAATGTCCCTGCATACATCGGTCCTGCTTGTGTAGGGTGTGATCGTAGGCTACATTCCTAGAAGACAGATCCACTTCCTGACCACATTGTTCACTGTGCCTGGTCCTCAGGAGGCTTCAAGCATCTGCTGATGTACGTTTTACTGTCACTGTGCTCAGGGCACGAGGACAGTCGGAGCCCAGGGTGGCCACACTTTAAGTGCTAGCAGCGTGCCCCGGGTTGCTGTCTGGGCCACTGTGATATGCTAGACATTCAGGGGTTGCCCATTTCCCTGTGAGGACTTCTGCGATGCATGCTTCCTGAAGGGTTGGTTTTCTTCTTTGAGGGCATCGTGTACATAGAAACACTCAGGACACAGCGGGACCAATAGATAACTCTTTACTCCCTAAATATTCTTTAGAATCACCTCACAGGGGAGAAACCACTGGAGACCATGCACATTTTAGGACTCACTCTGGTTGGGTGACTGGTATGAGCTTTTTCCACCTACAGGACTGGTTCTGCCCCATGTGCTCTAAGAGCCCCTGCGTGCCCTCCCACCTACATCCTAAATACTTGGGGGCCACAGCAAGAGGAGCGCACAGGTGGGCCCAGAGGAGCTTCTTTCTACACGCTGCTGGTGGTCACAGGCAGTGGGACCCCTCAGGGAAAACAGGGTGGTGTTGGCTGGCGTTTGGGAGCCTTCTGGCCAGTGACACCTCTCCAGGGAACAATGTGCACCAAGGACGGGGTAGCAATGCTCAGAGCAGCTGCATCCACAACAGCAAAAACTAGAAGCCAAGTGTCTGTCGGAAAGAGGATGGACAAGCCATGGAGTACTATATGTGCTAACTAAACGATTAAACAAGCCGTATGCACCATCAGGTGACTCGTAGCAACTTGCTGCTGAGGAAAAGAGTTGCATGGAGCATAATACAATCCTATATCGCTAACAAAAAAAAAAAGCAAACAATGTATTGTTTTGAGATACTAGTGTTAGGAGGATAGGAGAGAGCTGTGGTTACGGGGGCGGGGGGAGGTGGGGGCAGCTGGAGAAGGAGCCCCCAGGCAGGTGGACACATCGGTCACCGCACCACTACACTGCATCACAGGCACACTGTGCTATATTTTGTGAATATCAAGAACGATATAGCTGTGAACATGGGAGGAAAAGTCCTGAGACTTACACAGTCCGAATGGAGATCAACCTGCCTCCGACCACAACGGGAGGGGACCCTGGGGTCTCTGCTTCCCTCTGCCACCAGGCCAATGCTGCCTGGTGCACGGTACAACCAGCCTGCTCCCCACCCGGGCCTGGATGGACAGAGGCCCAGGGTCCCCCCCCCACCCGTGGCAGTCCTCTGCACCCTTTCCCCAGGCCCCAGACACCCCAGGAGCACAGAGCAGAATTGACTTCTGCCTCCTGCAGGCTGGGAACCACCATCCGGTTCCTCCCTAGGGCTTGGGGAGGGCCCCTTTTCAATTCTCATTCCACGGGGGACCTCATTCCACCTTCTTTCCGGAACAATGTGGCCACTTACCCACATTGCTCAGTGCAGCCACCTTAGTCATCTTCAGGGCCCCCAAACTCTTCTCTCCTAGCGAGAGGGTTATAGTTAGTGTCCCTGATTTTATTTACCCTGCCAAGGACTCCAAGATGACCTTCTGGTCCCTGTCTCTGTAGAACAGAGCGGGGAAACCCTTACATCTTCTGCAGGCACCCTCCTACAGGGTGCTGCTATTACAAATTCCAAAGAAATTACAACAGTCCCTGATTTTTATTCCATACTACTTCTTTTTGAAGAATTTGTAATCCACCAACAACATGGTATTAAGTTCATGTATTAAAATTTCAGAAAATAGGGGCGCCTGGGTGGCTCAGATGGTTAAGCATCTGCCTTCGGCTCAGGTCATCATCCTAGGGTCCTGGGATCGAGTCCCGCATCGGGCTCCCTGCTAGGCGGGAAGCCTGCTTCTCCCTCTGCCTCTGCCTCTCTCTCTCTCTCTCTGACTCTCATGAATAAATAAATAAAACATTTTAAAAAAATTTTTTTTCAGAAAATAGTAGGCCTGTCCCCAGGTTCCCCAGTTCTTCTACCCAGAGGTACTAATTGTTACCTACCACACACACACACACACACACACACACACACACACACACACACGTGCACACACACATACACACACGTACAGTCTGTTTCCTAATGTATACAAGATGGGAGTATATCAGACACACTTCTGTTGTGCTTTAAAACAATCTGAATATGAATTGTAGATTGCTCCAGACCAATATATAAAGAGCTAGTTCCTCATTTCAATGGCTGCCTGGTGGTTCGGGGTCTGGCTGTGGTATATCAGTGAACAGCCCCCTAGTAGTGGATGTATAGGTGGTCTCCGATCCTTTGCTATGGCGCTGTAATGAATACTGTTGTCCAAATATCTTTACTTACATGTGCGAGTGCATCCTTGGGATCAGTTTTGGGAAATGACATTCCTACTCTCTCTGAACCTCACACCACCCATCACTTCATTTTATAGATGAGAAAATGGACATTCGGAAAGCAAAACGCTCAGTCCAAACGGAAATAGGTTTTGAACCTGTGAAGTTTATTCACATGGCGTGGGTTCTGAGGAGATGAAGAGCCCCGTCAGGGTGGTTCCCCTCACTTGTGTTCACCTCTGTCCGGAAGGGAGTGCTCTGTGGCCGCGAGGGAGGCCGCTTGGAGCCGGGCTCTAGAGGAGGCCTCTGGAGGGGCGGGCAGCGCAGGTGCCGGTGGGGACAGCGGGGGCGCCTGGCCCAGGGAAGCGGCGGCTCACTAGCTTGAGTTCCCAAAGTTGGCTCAGAAGAGGCGGTGGCGGCGGAGGGCTCAGGCAGGACAGTGAAGTAAAATCTGGGGCCCCAAGCCTAGAACAGCCACACAGAACCCCACGGGTCCAGAGACGTCGGCTGGGGCCACGACCAAGACTGCTCCCAGCCCAGACCTGCCCTGGGACCCCACACTGAGCCTCTGCTGCCCTCCCAACCGCCACCCCCTATGTCCACGTCAGAACCCCAACAGGGTTCCCGCGCCGTGCCTCAGACACGGCCAGGACTTGCTCCACCAGGCCTGCACAGACACTGAGTGTCATCCTCCAGTCGCTGGACGGCCACCAGCAGGCACACCGTGCTATATTTTGTGAATATCAATTTCCCCTGTGAGGCCACTGCTCCTCTCCTGGTCTGTCTTTTCCAACAGCTACATCAGCCTTAGAGTTGGAGGGAGGGGCTGAGGCAGTCACAGTGGAGCTGGGGTCCTTGGGAGGTGGGGTGGATGCCCCTCCCCACCAACTGGTCACGGAAGCCCTGCATTATGTCACAGCTGGTGTGTGATGGCCCAGGGACAGCCTGGATCTGAGTTCCAGTTTTGGGCGAGTATGTGAAATGTTCGTGTGTGGGGATCTTTCCAAGGGTGTCTGGGTGTTTCAGTGTGTGTGCCCATGTGTAGGGGGTACATCTGTTAGCACATGGTCAGGCTAGAAGTGGCCAGTGCGAAGTCCCCCGTCAGTGCCTCCACCCTCAGAGCAGGCTGCAAGGAGACCAGAAACTTGTGGGCTCTTCTTCTGTTTTGCCTCTGCTGTGTGGAAGGATGTTGGCTAAGCTGCCTGCTCAGGCCTATTTCCCTACGTGTGGACAGGGCCCTGTTCAGGTGAGGCCAGGGCCTGCCCACCCGAGGGTCCTGTGCAGCCTCTCCCACAAACTGCTTTGCTGTGGGAGGGACCACTGGACTTCAGTGTCTCCTTTCTGGGCCTCGGTTTCCTCAGCTTGGAAGTGGAGGCTGCTGGGAGAGTCACGTGAGTGTCTGTGCAGAGCTGGGGTGCAAGGCCAGCAGCTTGAGTGTGATTGGTGGGCCACAGCAGCTGTCGGCATCCTGGGCCTGTGACTTACCCTCTGACTGGAATGGATCTCGTTGGCACCAACGTCTTCTGCAGGGGCAGCTGATCCCTCAGTGAGGTGGTCATCTTCGTGACCTCCCAGGGCTTCAGGAACTCTGCAGTAGGTTCTGACAGCCAAGAGAACCTGCAATGGGCACTTGGCATCTTTAGCGAGCCTGCAGCCACCAGCCATATGAATAGTTCTCGCTCATCTGGAACTTTCTACTTGCCAGGCATCATTCTAAGTGCTTTATCAACATTAACCCGTATGTCAACTCACAACCATTTATAGATGAGGAAATTAAGGCACAGAGAGGTCAAGTGACCTGCCCAAGGTCACACAGCTAGGAAGCCCTCCAAAGTTGCTACATTTTTTTTTTTTGTCAGGACCTATCAGTGCATTGATGATGGGATCCAGGACACAGCCTGGCCACACAGAGTATTTAGTAACTGCCGCTGGCCGAGGCCCCAGTGCTGCCCAGTCTGGGGGTCTCTACTGATTTCCAAGTGCCCTAGGGCTTTACAAACTACACCCCACCCCAGTCTGACCCCATCACACCTTTGGCAGGGGTAGGTGTTCATGAATGTGCTCTTCAGGTGGTTCCCACAAGGCCACTGACTCAGAGGGAAAGAGCTGGCTACGACTCTGGGATGGCCCCAGGGGTCCCGGGCACCTATCTAGAGGCCCTCAGCTCTGATTGGGATGGGGGTGGGGCGAAGATGAACCCCAGACTGTCACAGAGCTGCTCAGGGAACTCCCTGTGGATGAGAAAACTCATCCCAGGTCCACGCTATACATCCCTGGAATGCACTTTGGCATGGCCTCAGGGGAGGCAGGACTTGGCCCTAGGGGCCTCAGGGTCTAGTACCTGTACGGAAACTTCCTGGCAAATTTTTCCTGGGCCTTGTCTCTACTCTTCTTATACTGGGGGCACTTCTTGGGGTTCTTCGAGTTCATCATGGAAGGAGGTTAAGCTGTGGCACACCTTTCAGCCGTGGCTAGAAGGCAAGAGGAGGCCTGTCAGAGTGGGGAAGGGGATGGGAGCAGCCAGGCTGGACCTGGACCAGACACTCGGCTTCCCCTTGGGACTGTGAAGGGGACAGAGGACGGGGCCCCTGCCTGCCCCCCAGGGCTGAATGAGGGCTGGGTCATGCTGGCCCATCACCCATGCCCGGCCTCACCACATTGTACCAGTCATACACGCTCTCACGTGTAAGTGTGTGTGTGTCTGTGTGTCTGTGAAATTTTATGTGTACAGCTTTGTGTAACTACCACCTGGGATGGTTCTCAACTGAACAGCCCGTCCCAAGCTCTGGCAACCACGAATCTGTGTTCGTCTCTGTACTGATGTGACTTTACAAGTGTTATACCAGTGGAACAACGCAGGAGGTATCTTCTAGAGCCTGGCTTCTTTCTCTCAGCATAATTCCCTCGGGAACCAGCCCAGTTGTGCATATCAGCAGGTGGCTCTTCTTTCAGTGCTGAGTAATATTCTATGGGATGGATGTGCCATGCTTTGTTTAATCCTCAACTGTTGCCATGCTTTGTTCAATCTACATCTGGGTAGTTCCTGGTGTGGGGCTATTATGAATAAAGCTGCTATGAATATTCATGTGCAAGTTTGTGCATGAAAACAAGTCTTTTTTTCTCTGGACTATATAATGGTGAATTGCTGTGGCTTATGATAAGTCCATTTTTAGTTTTAAAAGGAGCCGCCAAACGACCTTCCAGAAGAGCCGTACTATTTTCCATGCCCATCAGCAGTACACAAGCGACTGTCTTTTTAAAGCACCTGGTGCAGATGCAGGTAGGTCAGGGCGTAGGTCCTGCCAGAAATGCCAGCAGCCCCGGCTTGTGGCCTGGCCCGTTAGACCCACCAGGAAGTCTTCCCGACCTTCCACATACTTGCCCACCTGGCAAAGAGCTTTGTTCAAAGTGCAGCTCTCTACACCAGTGCTGGCTAGTGGGGGCCTCCATGGCCTCTGACCCTGGACTGTGACTGTTATAAGGACACTGGGGTCCCTTTCATGGGCCTGGCCCCACAGCCTCCACTATCATGTAAACCCGGGTAGGTCACTATAGACTATAGTCCTCCTCCTGCTGAGAAGCCAGGTGAGGGCCCTGGTCCAGGATGGGCGCCTGTGTCGCAGTGGGAGGCACAGGCTCTGGGCTCAGCAAAGTGTCTGCTAAGCTCCATGTGTGACCTCATTTAATGTTCTCCACCTGACAGAGATGACGGTCACCCCCGTTTTCCAGGGAAGGAAACAGGCTCTGAAGTTAGGTGCTTTGCCTACATCCCGACCCACGTGGTGAGTAGGGGACAAGGTGGGGTCCAGAGTGGCCATCTGAGCTCTACAGCCTCAAACAGTCCCAAATGGGGCTGGGAGATGTGACTATACCAGCCATCGACCTGAGGAAGTGGCACCACTACAGGAACCCAGCGGTCTGGAGGAGGCAGGGGAAGGGACACCCCTCAGGCCCACCCCATACCTACCTGCAGAACCCTTAAGCTGTCAGTGTGACCCTGCAAACTGACACAGCTGAGTCTACCTCCCTCAGGGGCAGAAGGGCCACTGCAGAGGCCAGGGCAGGACTCTGACACCATGGCCATCTGTCCCGGGCACCATCTTGCTCCTGCTTCCCTAGCTGATCTGGGACTGTCCTTCCCAGCCACCCAGGCTGCCTCCCTAAATCCTAGTAGTGACCATGATGGGGGCTTGGCTCAGGGTGCCCTGGCAGTGTCAGGAAGACAGCAGGTATGAGAGCTGCTATGCCCCCTGACCCCCCAAGCCTGGTTCCCCTGGCTACAACACTCTCTTGGTTCAGTGACATAGAGAGGCACAGGCCTGGGTACACAGAGCCTCCAGCCAGAAAGGAGTGGGTGAGTGGACCATCCAAGCTGCAGGCTACTCACGGGCTCACTTATGTGACGCCAGAAGGGCGGAAGCTGGCCATGGCCCTGGCTGCCATGCTGCCACAGGAGCACTGGCCTTGGGGCCCCAGTAGGCCAGGCCCACAGGATCATTGCGACATCAGAAGCCCTTGAAGTCACAATCAGTGACACTGCAGTTGCTGAACCATGTGGCTCAGAAGCTGGCCTGAAGCCCCTCTAGCCCAGAGTGGCTGTAGAGATGGCAGCAAGTAAGCCAGGGCTTGCTGGCATTCCCACGCTCAGCACCCTGGGTGGAGCATCCACCTGAACATATTCCTTAGCAGGGATCTCTCCCATGCAGATTCTGGGAACAGAAGAGATATCCCAGAAATAGCTAAAACCTTACTTTGGTTGCAGAAAAGTTATTCTGGCTGACTCTGACCTGAGCCTTAGCCACAGCCCAGCAATCATGGGGATGAGGGTTTGAGCTCAGGGGAGTGTGAGAGTTTAGGGCGGGGCCCAAAAGGCCAATTCCCTTTCTCCCAGTCTGGGTCACTACCTTCTGTGTGGCCTCAGGCAAGCAGCTCAGTCTCTCTGTGCTTGTGTCCCAGACTACATATGTGTTTTGAAAAAATCGCTCTGGTGGCAGTGTGGAGAACAAAGTGAACAGGGCCAGGAGTAGGTGTGGGTAGACCAGGTGACCAGCAAAGGCAGTAACACGGATGAGGGGTGGTGGTGCCTTGGAATGAGGTGGTGATGGAGATGGAGGGAAGGGGGTGGATTTGAGAGATTTCAGGTGACCAAGTTAACACAGAGTGGTGACAGAGGCTGTGGGAGGGCCAACAATGACTCTGGGTTTCTTTACTGACATGAGATGGGACTGGACTAGCCTTGGAGGGAGACCATGGGTTCGGCCTTGGTCAGGTTGAGTTTGAGATGCCTTTGAGGCCTCCCTACACTTAGACACTTCTACATCTGGGTCTGAGATCCAGAGGGGTGAGACCTGGGCACAAAGTATGTTTGGGTGTCACTGATGTATCAGTGGTAATTGAAGACAATTATCCGAATGGAAGGCGATGTGGAAGAAGTGAAGAGGGCATTGGCCTGAGTGTTAAGATACTCAGTATTTAATGATCAAGTAAATATTTAGTGCCTGTGACCCAGACAGAGGCACGGACAGAGAGGACGAAGTCAGTGGTGTCATGGAAGCCAGGGGATGATTCCAGCTCAAGAGGCATAGACTGGTCAGTGGTGCCAGTGCTGCAGATGGTAGTGAGCAGGTGAGAAGGAAGAAGTAACTTTAGGTTTTAGTGCTGTTTCGTTTTATGCCGAGCTGTTTCTGTGGAGGAACGCATGCCAGACTACAAAGAGTCGAGGAATGAGAAGGTGAAGGAGTTGAACTGGAGGTGCTATGGCGATTTCACCTGAGCCATTCTCCATTCTCTGTTCTGCCTTCGTTCTACTAATGTGATGCATTACATTGATTGAGTTTCTTATTAAGAAGAACCCTGGCATTGTGGGCACAAATCCCACCTAGTCACGACACATAATCCTTTTAATATGCTGCCGAATTTACTTTGATAGTATTTTGTCAAGGATTTTGTAATCTATATTCATAAGGGGCATTGACCTGACGTTTTCTTGTCTTGTAGTGTCTTTTTTTGGCTTTGCTATCAGGGTAATCATGACCTCATAAAATGAGCTTGGAAGCGTTCCCTCCTTTTCAATTTTTTGGGAACTTTGATGAGGACTGGTGTTAATTTTTTGTAAATGTTTGGTAGAATTCACCAGCGAAGCCATCTGGTCCTGGCCTTTTCTTTGCTTGTGTGTGTGTGTGTGTGTGTGTGTGTGTGTGTGTGTGTGTGTGACTCTTAGGGGTTTGTAATTGCTCTGGATAGAACTTTTAGTACTATGTTGAATACAAGTGGCAAAAGCAGGCATCCTTGCCTTGTTCCTGATCCTAGTGGGAAAATTTTCAGTCTTTTTACCGTTGAGTTGGACATTAAGTGTGGAGTTTTCATATACGGTTTTTATTATGTTGAGGTAGGTTTTTTCTATTACTAGTTTGCTGAGTGTTTTTTTTAATCAGGAAAGTGTGTTGAATTTTGTCAAATGCTTTATTGACATCAATTGAGATTATCATGTGGGGTTTATTTTCATTTTTCTTTAATGTGGCATATTTGATTGCCTTTCATAAATTGAACCATTCTTGCATTCCAGATATAAATCTCACATGGTCATGGCATATAATCCTCTTATTATGCTGCTGAAATCATTTTGCTAGTATTTCATTGAAGATTTTTACATCAATATTCATAAGGGATATCAGTCTTAGTTTTCTTTTCTTGTAGTGTCTTCTGGCTTTGTTATCAGGGAAATGCTGGCCTCATAGAATGAGATAGGAAGTGTTTCCCCCTCTTCAATTTTTTGGAAAAGTTTGGAAAGGATTGATATTAGTTCTTTAAATGTTTGGTAGAATTCAGTGAAACCATCTGTTCCAGGGGTTTTCTTTGTTGGGTGGTTTTTGATTACTGAATTAGTTTACTTACTATTTGTTTGTCTATTCAGATTTTCTATTCATGATTCAGTCTTGGTAGGTTGTGTGTTTCTGGGAATCTGCCCATTTCATCCAGGTTATCCAATTTGTTAACATAAGTTGTTCATAGTATTCTCTTATAATCCTTTTAATTCTGTATAATCAGTAGTAATGTTCCCATTTTCATTTAAGATTTTAGTAATTTGGGGGTGCCTGGGTGGCTCAGTTGTTAAGCATCTGCCTTCGGCTTGGGTCATGATCCCAGGGTCCTGGGATCGAGCCCCACATTGGGCTCCCTACTCGGCGGGAAGCCTGCTTCTCCCTCTCCCACTCCCCCTGCTTGTGTTCCCTCTCTAGCTATCTCTCTCTCTCTGTCAAATAAATAAATAAATCTTTAAAAAAAGGAAAGATTTTAGTAATTTGAATCTTCACGTTTTTTTCTTAGTCGATCTAACTAAAGGATTCACAATCTTGTTGATTATTTCAAAAATCGACTTTTGGTTTTGTTGATTTTCTACGTAACTTTCTACTCTGTTTTATTTATGTTTATTCTAATCTTTATTGTCTCCTTTCTTCTGCTAGCTTTGGATTAATTTGCTCTGCATCTTCTAGTTCCTTAAGTTACATAATTAGATTATCAATTGGGGATCTTTCTTCTTTTTGAAGATATATAAATTTCCCTCTTTACACTGCTTTCACTACATCCTACAAGTGTGGTATGTTTTGATTTTGTTTTCATTCATCTGAAGGCATTTCTTAAATTCCCTTGTGATTTCTCCTTTGATTCAGTGATTATTTAAGAAATGTTGTTC